ATTTGCCCACAGGATTAAAAGCAGGCCTCCGTGGAGAACGGCTTCAGTGCTTTCAGTGGATTGCGAAGTGATCTCAACAGGAAGCTGCCGGTACGTGCACTATAGTGATGGCCATTGTCGACTCTACCCATTTAAAATTGGCCAACACTATGCCCAGAATACGCTCGGAAATGCTCCATGTCCCCCTACCCCACGAACACGCATACATGCAAGTGAGGAAAATCACATACATATTAAAAGATCGTAGATCACTGCAGTGCTGAGCGCACATTTCGCGGCCAGTGGTTGAATGTAGTATAATATTTCGTTAGAAACGTCCTCTACCCTTTAAAGAAACTATTGGTAAATTGTAGTCGAATGTAAGGGTAGTATTGAGTCGAATGTAAGGGTACTATTTTCAGTTTCGTTGCATCATGCTGAACTGGCTGCCTTGGGTGCTCATGATGCATCGACCGGGATACATAGCCGCAGGTAGAAAAATGACAAAAGAAGGCGACGAGGACGAGCAGAGCGATAAAAAGAACGTCTGCATTGACTCCGATCCTATCGAAAAATGGTTTTACAACTTCCCAACCGCAAATAGCACTTGACATCATTGGCTCGATTCCGAAGAAGGAGAAGTACGATTATTTGTCTTGCGTCACAATGAAAAATATTATCTTAGGCTAACCGTCGTTGATGAAGTCGAGCAACAGCCGGCCGAGGAGCGGCGTCACCTTTGGGAAGGTTCTCGTTACTCCGCAGATCGTTCATCGTTCCGATTAATGAGGTATGACTCAGTAGTTAAAGGCGGATTTCACGAAGAAAAAAGGCTGGTCATGCAGAAAAGAAGTAAAAAATGGCCTAGGACTCGAGGAATAGCACCAATTGTCCGTAGATATACGTTTTAATGCGACTCTCATTGGTGCTGCCCTCTTCAACGTCAACGCTCTCTATGCTGAACGGCTAAAGACTCAGCCACGAGACAACGCGAGAGGGAGGGGGCGGGGTACCGCGCCCATAGTGCGAAACTGGGCCGCGCGACGGGGAGCCCGTGATAGCGTAGATAGCCGGCGGCATATCCTTCGATGCGAATTGCGGTCGGTTTCTCCTTAGGAAGGCAGGCCTGTCCCTTCACTAGGTGGTCTCTCCTCTCTTCTTCGGTCTTCATATTTATCGTGAAATCCTTTTCTAAGGCACACCCACCGTTATGGTATCTTACCCATGTGTATCGCTGAGTGTTCTTTGCCCCGAGACGTTTTCTCTCTCCTTGGCTGCCATTATGTAGCTTCTCATTATTATTTCTGCCTGCTTCCTAGACTCTCTCGAAGCAAACAACAAGAAGTATAGTATTTCTGGTGTTTACGATGGTTTCCTCTGCTTTTTTACTCTGGCCCACTCGGCACCCCACCCCTACCCCTCATATACGCGCCTCGAGCGTGCTCAACCAGGGTCAACCGTCCGTTGGACAAAGTCCAACGCGACGACGAGAGTAATGCCGAGAGTGAACGTACGCACGGAGACACAGACGGCTCGCGGGTGGCGAGAGTGAATGCCGGCGCGGAGAGCGGTGAACATCGGTCCAACGTCGCTCCAATATCGGTCCAACGTAACGGTTGACCCTGCCCAAACCCCACCTGCCCTGTAGGCGCGCATGTGTGGGAGGGAGGGTCTATCAATGGACGGGCAAAAACCCATGTGCGTATCCCTTGGTATCTTGGTGGAGCACCCCTAGCACTTCATTCTTCGAGGAGCGGAAGTGGCCTGACCTCTGCAGTTTCCGATGTATTGCACCTCATCCACAGAAGAAACTTCAGTGATGCTTATTGCAAGCCGTGTCTTTAAGCAATTCATCCTGTTCTTTAGCGTTACTCGTCTGCTAACTCTTGAAATAATGGTCTGTGCCTAGAAATATGCCTTTAGGTTACACAAGAACAAGTCGCTCAATTGCTTGTGCTCAATGAAATCCACGAACACTTGTCTGTGAGTCTGAACTATGTTCTTCAGCCCTAGCTTATAGCCAAAAAATGGTTGCTGAAGTGGATCAATTTCAGGTGATTACTGCAGAAATCCGTGAAAAGGAGCGAAACAAAGATGTTGAGGATGACTGGAAATTTGCAGCGATGGTGGTCGACCGACTTTGCCTTTATGTTTTCTCTTTTTTTATACTGCTATCAACTTGTTCTCTGTTTTCATCTGTTCCAAACCTCAAAAGCTTTTCGTAACCGAATTCCCAACACTGTACTACTGCTTGAAGCTTTCGGAGCTTTCGTTTGCTTTTTGATTCTCCACGGGTTTATGTTTTCTATGAATCGTCTTGTTAATTTTCATCTCTTTCAGGAGCTCAACTACATGCTCACATTTATGAGACTTCTTTGTAATCACATGGAAATGATGCTTCGCAAAAGACTTTACTTGACGACGTTTTTCCATAAAATTACAAAGAGGTTATGAAAAAATTACAATCTTCATTGTTCATGAGACTTCATTTCCATAAAATTACAACGAAATCTCACAAAAAATGAAGTTGGGGAACTCTCTGATCTTGGTCATGCTTTTTTCCCTTCTTCAAGCTCCGTTCGGAGGTTTACCAGGAGCAGTGGTTGAAGGGGCTAACCGTACGGGGAGGGTCGGTGCTATGCAGCGTTTACTGGGCACGATGCACGCTTACCGTACCACGGTGGATAGGCTCGCTTCTTCCCAGAGATGCCCTCTAATTCTCGCCGAGAATAACGTGAGCGCTTTACTCCTATCGAATCACTACCTGCCACTGCCAACGACTACTAGGCATTGCTTCCCTCGCTTTTCTGCTCCTCACTGTCTCTTATCATATTGTTCATTCCATTTATGTGTCTTTCTCGTTTACACTTCAACATGAAACATTAATGTGAAATGAAATCTGCATAACCTGTTAAGTGTGTATTTCATGGCATCCTGAAAGACCCTGTTAGATAAAGCATTTTCATCCATTGGTGCCTTACCTATCATAAATTTTGCAAAATGACATGGTCTAAGCTAAGCGTTTCCTAACATCGTTCCCAAGAAGCTCAAAAACCTCGTAAATTTCGGGTTCATTTCCAGACGGCAAATTTTCAGTACTGTAGCGACTTTTCATGAACCAGGCAGCGTTCATTATGGTTTTATCGCTGGCTATAGATTGTTCTATAAGTTCGTGCCACTTTTTTACGCTTCCCGCCAGGTATTCATTTTGGGAGTTCTAATATGATCAAGTAGGTACGAAAAACCTACTATATAATTCAACACATACACGAACCAAGCTCTCCTTAGCTGCTTTCTTAGAGCTCAACTTGAAAGGAGAAGAGAGCCATAGTTTTCAAGCTTTGATTTATGAGCTGCTACTAGCTAAAACCGGTCGAAGCCAGGAGTAACATGTAGCAGGTGTCCTCCTTTGAAAAATTGTAGTAGCTTGGATTAAGAAATCTTCGTGAATTGATCATTAATCCAAGGGAGGATCATGAGTTCATCAGCATTTTCTTTCCTTTTCCGTCTCTACGCGGTCAACTTGAACCATACCATCTACGTCGATGAGAGGAGATTTCGGGGGGAGAAAAGAGAGAATCTCCTCTCATCGACATTAGAGTGGTTGTTCAGTGACCGCGTAGAGACGGAAAAGGAAAGAAAATGCTGATGAACTCATGATCCTCCCTTGGATTAATGATCAATTCACGAAGATTTCTTAATCCAAGCTACTACAATTTTTCAAAGGAGGACACCTGCTACATGTTACTCCTGGCTTCGACCGGTTTTAGCTAGTAGCAGCTCATAAAATCAAAGCTTGAAAACTATGGCTCTCTTCTCCTTTTCCGTGCATTAGGCCAGGGTTGGTCGTGTATGTGTTGAATTATATAAGTAGTTTTTCGTACACTACCTTGATCATTATTAGAACTCCGGCAAATGATACCTGGCCCGGAAGCGTAAAAAAAGTGCAGACTTTTAGACATATATGTCCAGTACTTTGTATTTATAATATCTGACTTCGATAATGAGACGCTGCCTGGTCCTGAGAAAGTCGCTAAGTACTGAAATATTGCCGTGAAAATGAACCCGAAATCTCCGAGGTTTTTGAGCTTCTTGGGACGATGTTAGGTAAACGCTTAGCTTAGACCATGTCATTTTGCAAAATTTATGATAGGTAAGGCACCAATGGATGAAAATGCTTTATCTAACAGGGTCTTTCAGGATGCCATGAAATACACACTTAACAAGTTATGCAGATTTCATTTCACATTAATGTTTCATGTTGAAGTGTAAACGAGAAAGACACATAAATGGAATGAACGATATGATAAGAGACAGTGAGGAGCAGAAAGCGAGAAAGCAATGCCTAGTAGTCATGACAGTGTCAGGTAGTGATTCGATAGAAGAGTAAAGCGCTCACGTTATTCTCGGCGAGAATTAGAGGGCATCTCTGGGAAGAAGCGAGCCTATCCACCGTGGTACGGTAAGCGTGCATCGTGCCCAGTAAACGCTGCATAGCACCGACCCTCCCCGTACGGTTAGCCCCTTCAACCACTGCTCCTGTAAAACCTCGCGAACGAAGCTGAGAAGGGAAAAAAAGCATGACCAAGATCAGAGAGTTCCCCAACTTCATTTTTTGTGAGATTTCGTTGTAATTTTATGGAAATGAAGTCTCATGAACAATGAAGATTGTAATTTTTTCATAACCTCTTTGTAATTTTATGGAAAAACGTCGTCAAGTAAAGTCTTTTGCGAAGCATCATTTCCATGTGATTACAAAGAAGTCTCATAAATGTGAGCATGTAGTTGAGCTCCTGAAAGAGATGAAAATTAACAAGACGATTCATAGAAAACATAAACCCGTGGAGAATCAAAAAGCAAACGAAAGCTCCGAAAGCTTCAAGCAGTAGTACAGTGTTGGGAATTCGTTTACGAAAAGCTTTTGAGGTTTGGAACAGATGAAAACAAAGAACAAGTTGATAGCAGTATGAAAAAAGAGAAAACATAAAGGCAAAGGCGGTCGACCACCATCGCTGCAAATTTCAGTCATCCTCAACATCTTTGTTTCGCTCCTTTTCACGGATTTCTGCAGTAATCACCTGAAATTGATCCACTTCAGCAACCATTTTTTTGGCTATAAGCTAGGGCTGAAGAACATAGTTCAGACTCACAGACAAGTGTTCGTGGATTTCATTGAGCACAAGCAATTGAGCGACTTGTTCTTGTGTAACCTAAAGGCATATTTCTAGGCACAGACCAATTATTTCAAGAGTTAGCAGACGAGTAACGCTAAAGAACAGGATGAATTGCTTAAAGACACGGCTTGCAATAAGCATCACTGAAGTTTCTTCTGTGGATGAGGTGCAATACATCGGAAACTGCAGAGGTCAGGCCACTTCCGCTCTTCGAAGAATGAAGTGCTAGGGGTGCTCCACCAAGATACCAAGGGATACGCACATGGGTTTTTGCCCGTCCATTGATAGACCCTCCCTCTCCACAGATGCGCGCTACAGGATCAGGTTGGTTGTGAGCAGGGTCAACCGTTACGTTGGACCGATATTGGAGCGACGTTGGACCGATGTTCACCGCTCTCCGCGCCGGCATTCACTCTCGCCACCCGCGAGCCGTCTGTGTCTCCGTGCGTACGTTCACTCTCGGCATTACTCTCGTCGTCGCGTTGGACTTTGTCCAACGGACGGTTGACCCTGGTTGGAGCACGCTCGAGGGTATACTGAGGGGTTCGGGTGAGGTGCCGAGTGGGCCAGAGTAAAAAAGCAGAGGAAACCATCGTAAACACCAGAAATACTAATACTTCTTGTTGTTTGCTTCGAGAGAGTCTAGGAAGCAGCGAACATAATAATCGAGAAGCTACATTAATTGGCAGCCAAGAAGAGAAACGTCTCGGGCAAGACTCTGGGTTAATACCATACGGTGGTGTGCTAGAGATTTCACCCGATAAATATGAAATCGAGAAGAGAGGAGAGACACCTAGGTGAAGGACAGGCCTGCTTTCTCAAGGAGAAACCGACCGCAATTCGCATCGAAGGATATGCCGCCGGCTATCTACTCTATCACGGTCTCCCCGTCCGCGGCCCAGTTTCGCACTATGGGCGCGGTACCCCGGCCCCTCCCTCTCGCGTTGTCTCGTGGCTGAGTCTTTAGCCGTTCAGCATAGAGAGCGTTGACGTTGAAGAGGGCAGCACCAATGAGAGTCGCATTAAAACGTATATCTACGGACAATTGGTGCTATTCCTCGAGTCCTAGGCCATTTTTTACTTCTTTTCTGCATGACCAGCCTTTTTTCTTCGTGAAATCCGCCTTTAACTACTGAGTCATACCTCATTAATCGGAACGATGGAACGTTCTGGGAGTAACCGAGAGAACCCTTCCGCCAAAGGTGACGCCGCTCCTCGGCCGCATGGAATGCGTCGATTCATCCAACGACGGTTTTTTAAGAGCCCCTAAGATTTTTTAAAAAAATATATTTTCAATTTTCGTTTTTTTTTTGTGATCGCAACCAAATAATCGAACTTCTCACTTCTATTCCGGAATACAAGCTCAAATATGATCCAAAGTGATCTTACTTTGGTGGGACCAGTGTAACATTTTCGATAAGATGGAGTCACATGCGAACGTCTTTTTATCGTTCTGCTGTCTCGTCGCTTCTTTTTTGTATTTTTCTACTGCGGCTATGTACCGGGCGGTCGATGCACGATGAGCCCCAATGGCAGCAGTGTTCAAAGCATGATGCAACGAAAACTGATAAATAGTAGCCCTTACATCGCTAATACTAGCCCCCTTACAATTAACGACTAACAATTTAACCATAGTTATCTTAAAGGGTAGAAGGACGTTTCTAACGACATATTACTACGTTCAGCCACTGGCTGCGAAATGTGTAAGAAGTCATGAAGCATGACCACTCACCGGGGTAAAAAATATAAATTCACAACTAAGATGTGACCTAGCGCTGTAGAGTATCGAACAATTTTTTGGAAGTGCCTAACAGGTCTCCTTAGAAATAGAGATGAATAATTCATGGTAACGATCTAATCAAGCCAGCGAATCGCTTCATTCCTACTACTTTGTTTTGGACACATGTAAAATAGGGTTGAAGAAAAGCTAATAAGTAACTACTTACCATGCTTCCCATGTCGTGGGAGTACGAATTCCGATGGTGAAAGTTCAGAGCCAAGGTTGTGGCAACAACACAGCAAGCACATGTGCACATACACAATGCAAAAAACGCCCCTGAAGTGGTGGATATTGGTGTGAGACAGGATAGTGAATATTTTGTTGAAAAAGAAAGTTCACGATTCCTGAGCAAACATCCTTCTCTGGAACGCAAGGTTCACCCGTTAGGAGGTCCGTTGCGCGGCGAGAATTCAGGACGCAGGCTAGTCGGAGGACGAGTCCCAGCGTGTACTGCAGTGATTTCGCGTCAGGTTAAATGGAACGTTCTACAGTATGCCCCAGATCACATAGCACGCACTACGACACGTTCGCCGACCTGCCTGCGTCCTTGCCTTCTCGCCGCACGACGGGCCTCCTGTTCGGTACGTGGAATAGAATGAATAGCGAGAGACTCTCATACAAATTACTAACAGCTATGACGAAGGGATGAATTTTCGGTGTAGTTTTCGATATCGCTCAATGGAAAGCGATAGAAATTAACTTTGGGTTGTCCAGAAAGGTCTGCTACACTCTGGCCAACCTTGTTCGAAAAAATCGAGATTCTTTTGAGGTTCTGTCATTTGATTACTGTTGCGCGCCTCCAAGCACCTACTAGGAGCGCGCAAAAAGGCTTCATGTTAAATTATGCAGCTCCAGGTTCCTCTCAAAATCAAGCCCTTTGACCTGCTCTATATTACGAATTCCTAAAAGGCCCTTGTGTTTGAGCCGTTGCAGCGCATGTGCGCTGCATTCAGAAGGAAATATATGAAGCGTGTCGTTGGTTCCAGAGCTTCGAAAATGGAGATATTCATTATGAAAGAAAGCAATGTTTTGGCCTGCTGTGGGTAAGGGATGGTTAGCGTCTATACCCAGCTGAGCGCTACTAGTCGTGGATGGGGATAACGCTAGGCTGCACTCACCTAACACTAACTCTACCGAAATTTCCTACGATCCCGGTTATGGAGCAATATGCGCGCAGCGGCGGGTACCGCATAGTGTGTCCGCCGGCTTGATGAAGCGATCCCAATGATTGTGCATGGGTGGCAAAAATAGCTACTCGTGAGGGTGACTGGGGCCTTAAGTGGACCATACATATAAACACTACTGGATGAAATGAGGAGTAAATTTGCCCACAGGATTAAAAGCAGGCCTCCGTGGAGAACGGCTTCAGTGCTTTCAGTGGATTGCGAAGTGATTCTCAACAGAAGCGCCGGTATCGTGCACTATAGTGAATGGGCCATTGTCGACTCTAGCCCTATGTTAAAATTGGCCAACACTAATGCCACGAATACGACTTCGAAATGCTCCATGGTCCCCCCTCCGCAGAACACGCATACATGCAAGTGAGGAAAATCACATACATATTAAAAGATCGTAGATCACTGCAGTGCTGAGCTTACTTGCTGAATTTTGTGGTTTCCATTCAGTCACATATGTTACCCTATTAGTTTAAAGCGTGATCTTTGAAAAAAAAAACTCGTGATCGACCATCCTCGATAATGAGACAATCGCTTCTGTTCGTAGTAATCGTCAGAGAAATCTTCGAAATCTTTGCTTTACGGTTTTTTGATCATTATGGTGTTTAAATTTTGGTCTTCTTTCTGGTTTTTATAGCATTATTACACAGAAACTAGCTCAAATTCAACCACGAAACGCAGTATGACCCTTGTTTCAGCCGCATGGCTACTCTTTCAGTGGCGCATATCCCACATTATCATAATTGTTACCTTTAAATTTACTTTTCAATTTAGATACTAGAGGATTGTGTAAAACAGTGTTATACAGCCTGTGACGCGAACCAGCAAGATACATGTTATCATTATTAATAACAGGCAGGAAATCTCAAAATGATAAGATGACGGTGAAATTGCTTTAGCATACCTAAAAATGGAAGGGCCTCCGATGTAGGCGGAGACATTTCGGCGACATAATTTTGAAATATGCAGATGGACAGCATGATTGTGATTTCTAAAATAGGAATATATAATTTTCAATAAAATTCCTTCAATAAAAATAAGATCTCCTATTTATGCATACATGTATGTATGTATGCCATTTGTATTTACTAGATTGGTCCCCGTCAACCGCCAGGACCTTCCTTTTCCTGCGTCAGCTTTCACGTACCACTTTCCATACAGAAAAGGGCATCGCCATAATCATGACATGACCGTGGATCCCATCCTCCTCCCTCCACTGCCCTCCAGCTGCCACTGCAGCACCATGTGGAATGAACGGAAGTGTGCTAAGCAGGTGTTTATATAGCCTAAGAGTGTTATCACAACTATCCTGCTACAAAACATTGATATCTCAAATCCTGTAAGCTACCCGATTTGTTAGCGGTTTGTTTATTCCATGAGCTTCCTTCTCACTCACTTCATTTTGCGGACGGACACACATACATACATACATACATACATACAAACCGACACACCAAGTTAGCGGTTTATAAAATAGAAGGATTTAAACGAATTTATTCAAGGCTTTCCACATTACACTTTCCACGCCATAAGACTCCCCTCAGGTATGTGGTGCGGTACTAAAGAAAACATTTCTTTTCGAAAAAGTATTGATATGAATGATGTGAAAGGTACGGTATGGGTGGTTATCCCGCGCAACAGCTGCGCGAATTCGTTGCTCACCGGGTGATAGAAAACTGTAGAAGTACACTGTTGAGTTGCCCTATCTAGCTCCTTTCTCGCTATCAATGCGACTTCTTGGTTCGCATACGTGTGGCTCATTCCGCCAGATGTCACTTCTACTCCAAACCAACGCGTGTATGGCGTTTATTTGCCACAGTGACGCAGCATGGCGCGCATGCGCGTCAGATTTTCACGCGCACCAGGCTCGTTTTCTTCGTTTTATTTGCATTTTTTGTATTTCAAAACTGCATTGCCTAATAGTTTACGTTATTCACAATATAGTGAACCATTTACTCGTAGTGTAATTATTGATGGAACAATAATGATTTTTAAAAAATAAACAAAGTGGTGCAGAGTTATATTACAACGGACTGTGGTCAATGTGATAAAGAAATCGTGTACGAAAAAATGGTGTTTCTATCTCACCCATAAATCACTGGCTTAAGACCTGACATTCACGGTAGAACGAAAAGAGCCAAAGAGTGTGTTTGATCTCGAAAAAATTTGAATCACAAAGGACGGCCAGGCGTTCGAATTCCCACTGTACGTCTGCCACGAATGTTGGCGACAGGTACGAATCCACTTGGCCCTAGGAGAGCCGTCAGTCGATCTCTTCTCCACATATGGCATTAACAGTTCTCTCTTCTACTGCATTCTATTCTGTCAATCGTTCTGTATCTATTCTCCATATTCGAGTTCTTAGGAGAGGATTGCACGGAAAGAACGAAGGTCGAAGAAGGGAGAAATCGCCTAGTGGGGAGAGCGGTGAATCTCTTGAGGGTGCGGACAGACACGCAATCGGCATCGAAAGATTTGACCTCTGAGATCTAGCATGGCTCAAAGTTGGCGAGTTCGGCGATCTCCGCCCACCGATCGTCTGATCACTCGCCGTAGTACAATAGGTGGCGAGTGATTAGATAGCTGAGAGAGCGTAGGGTTGAAGAGGGCAAAGCGATGAGAGTCCCATCAATGCTCAAATCAACGGACAAGGAAGGGGTCCCATTTCTCCGGTTCTGGGCCGTTTTTCGTGGTTTCGCTTTCTTTCTGGTACTACTCACCATCTCTACCTCAATTTGGAATGGGTTGCTTTTCCATCGTAAATTCGTCCTTATAATCTATCTACATTTCAATGCGTTCAATGATACAACGGCCTTTTAAGTCCACCCTCCATCCTCCCCTGATCACGTATGAGATTGAGCCGCACGTGCAGAACGTCGACTCCTGGAGTATTTCCTATAAACTGGAATGTGCTCTTCAATTTCCAGTTGGAAGGGTTTAGAAGAGTTTATTTGAATCTAGCAAATTATAATAAATTCATTAAATGTGAAGATAAAACGATTTCTTTTCGCTGGTCCCGCTCCCCCCCCCCTGGAAGGCGGTAAACAGTGGACTCACGCAATGACATCTTCTCTCCTGCATCGGGAGGTAGTGTGAAGCCGATCAAGGTGAGCATAGTAATCAGAATACAAGGTAGAATAAGGTTGAATAAAATCCGGACTTTTGGAAAGTTGGCATAAAGTAATCGTCTCACCATATCCAGTAATAAAAGCACTCATCTGCGGATAGACAAATTAAAAACAACTCGATAAGGGTTCGGGCACACGCATTCACGTGAATTTTTGAAACAGCAAGACGTGCTAAAATTCCATAATTCATGCAAATGGTTCATATTCATACCAGCAACAGTTCTATAAGTGAATTTTCCATAGTGCCGCCCTACAATCATGTGTGTCTTGTCAGTCATTGAGGTCTCGCACTCTCCCGTAAGTAAAAAAGAAAACAAGGTTCCTCAATACCGTAAACAAGCACTTTCTATAGATGTTAATATAGATTAGCATAGGTGATTACGAGGGTAGTTTGAAGTAATACGGACTGAGCCCGGTTTCCGGATCAAGTGAAGGAGTAAAGAAACTCCCGCATAAAGATTTCGCGTGGCAATACATATGTAGATAAGCTGATCCTGGGTCAGTATGAAATCTCCTTGACACAACAGTACTGTTCGAACAATCAAATACAGTAAAAAGGCCTATAGAACAGTCTATGAACATATTACACGGTACTGGTTAAGCCAGCTATGAGGTAATAGAGATTTATTAGATACTTACCTGTTAGCTCCCATTCACCATTTTGAATGTAACTGGAAAGATCGAAGCCATTTTCGTCCACGTCCAGATTAAGCTTCGAACCGTCAAACGTCCATGACCCGAACTAAAAGCAATTGCACGATAACTGTGCGTCAAAGAGAGGGGGGTGAGAGAGAGGCTGTACGGATTACCAAAAATCTTGGCGCTCTCGTGAAGTGCAAAACGTGCTCTTTCACGGTTGCTAAACTCACCACGGAATGTGAGATCCTCCTCTTCCCTTTTCGGGAAAAATTGGGTTGCTGTTTAACTGTCCGCTTACGACTGCCATCCTTGTCTGGCTCTCGCACTCTACCGCCCTAGCCAACTCCACAGCAGAGGCCGTTAAGGAGCATTCGTCCTAGCTCTAGCTGAGCGGGGATGAGAGAGAACAGCTCTGGGATAGCCATTAATAAGCGGGACTGAGAGAAGCAGGAAAAGTAAAATCTCAGCGAGTCCTCAAAGCGGAAATTAATCGGGAAAACTAATGGTTCGGTCTTCTGGCAGAATTTCCGCTGCTTTTCTCGTCTTTATTTCACAACTGCAATCAATTTTTTTCTTCTTCTGCCTATTCCATCGCGATCATTTCCGTGCTATAACCGCAACCAGGTGTAGTGCCCATTAACCTTGGAGCGAATTACACGGAGGTGGGAACTGTGTCGACGTTTTCCCGGTAATCCTTTACGAGATAGCAATCATTACAGGATTGTTTCAAAAATGGACTATTTAAACACGTTGACGCCAACGCGAGATTGGCTTTTTTTGGCCACGTGGGACAGGCGCGAGTTTGCGGACCGCCTCAGTCGTTCAAGCATATTTTGATGTGGTCAATACGATACCCATATCATATAATATCATTTTCAAAACCAAATCAGTAAATTGTAATGAGCGCAACCTAACCAGGGTAGCAGTAGTGGAATTTTCGATCGAAAGACATGGAGTAACAATGAAAAAGCGAAATTGGTCAGAACTAGCTGCAATGGACCTCAAAAGCAATTTTACGTTGATTATTCCAATCAAAACACACATATTGTCATCCCTAAGGTTCCGTATCTACTTCTAACTTATATTTAAATCTCACATTCATAAAAAGAAAAAGTAAAGAAAAATCATTAGACTGAAGATTTCGTATGTTTCAGAAATCTTCCTCTAAATTATAGCATACGTAACCATTCTATGGGTCACTATGTTTGTGTTAAGATGTTTCCATGATTAAGCTAACAACACCTTCTAAAGAGCACCCGGGAGCGAAAAAATGAGTGTAAGGGCCCGCCGGTTCCGACTATGGCCTGCAAGCACGCGGATAATTATCTCCCGGTTCGCGTCATGTTAAGTGTAGCATATGTGAAGGGTTGAAGGTCCGAATCTGTCAAGAAAGGGAAGACAGCCCTTCGGGAGCGAAACCAGAAGCTCTCTGATGAACCAATCTTGGAAAAAAGAAAGGATCACCTTAAGAAAACATTCCTGTACATCAAATGGAAACCAGGCAACGGCTATTCGACATGAAATTCGGAATATGCCTGAAATTTTGATATTTTTCGATGAAATAGTTTGGCTCCCTATAGCTGCGGGCTTCGTATAACTTACACGAGGTATCCCACTGATTATATCCTATCTGAATACCACACATTCACTGAATGAACTGACGAAGCGCTCGCCATATACCAGTAGGACACCGGTGTCCACAGCTGATTTCCTGAATTTACGTGGGCTACGGGTGGTTTCATCCCCGTGCACTCTCCAATCGTGACCTTGGTAGCACATGAGAGTACCAGACCGAAAGCTGTTGCAACAAGTACACCTCTGGGCCGCTCCACAGAAAGAGGATACGCTGCCTCCCAAAAATTTACACCGGGCCTCCGTAGGTACATACTCTCCCACGGGTGGGACTGTTTCATACAGCTCAACCCCTTCGCATGGTACGAGTCCGGGAAACCTTGGCCGTTTCATATCGGCCCATCTACGAAACTGTTAGGCCGCAACCCATAGTCTGATGAGGTAGAATGCGTGGCGATCACGAACATGTTAATAGCTATCGACTTGTTTTCTTTGCACAACAAGGTCAGTGGGTCTGTGTAATTGTGCTGATACCGAAAGTAAGCATAATCTATTTTACATATATATATTTTAGTTCTATTAGGCGAACAGATGCTGGATAAATTCCAAAACGATAAAGATTTTTTGCCGGTACGATACGCCTGGATGCGACTAGCAGTCGCACGAATCAAGAGGTAATAAATCTATTGATAGTGGTGGTCATGCGTTTGAAAACTAAGGATAGGCCTACGCACTTGGTAGCTACGAACTTGAACAGTAAACTCACTTGGAATCCAGTCGCTGCCACACGCGCTGCGTACCCTTCGATCTCCATTAAAGGAGTACATCGTCTCGTGCCACGAAAGCTTCAACCATGCGTTCACATCAACGAGTTGGTTTTTCTCATCCTGAACGATACTAACACATCAGCTTGGTGAACTATGAATATCGCTCTTCGAGACAAAATAAAAATTCATTATTCAAAAACGCCATGTTTCCGCCAATTTTTTTCGGACAATTATATTGGGTTGGAAAGAAAGTGCTGCAATGCTTCTTCCCTTTTGATTTCAAATTTATCTTTTATTCCATTCTGACGTCATAAATTATACCATCGAGTGTCCGCCACATTGATCTTCAACGCCTCCGAAAATTGTACGATTGCTAACTCCTTTCAAAACCCAGCCGAGTGCGGGTCGAGAAAGGAGGCGACCTCTGTTTCGAGTTGGAGTTGATCGTCTAATTAATTCGTCATCAAGATGATGATTCAAGGTCCAGGATAGGTGGCCATCATTCATAGCACGACTAGGGGAATACGGTAAGAGTTAAAATATTTGCGCAGCTACCAAGATTTCCTAGCGGGCTTATTTCGGATCATGGTGATTCGCAATGTCATGGAAGAAATAAATATTGTCGCGGTACGAGGGCTCCTAACGAACTGCCTCGACCAGCTTCTGGAGTTCGCACCTACTTAGACCTCTACCTACACAATGGTGCCCATAACGAAGAATTTGTAGTGAGCTTCCGTAAGAGCCCCTTCCTGTAAGGAATGTGTGGGACGCTGCTGGCTTCTTATAAAAATATCAAAAGATCGAAAGCGCTGGTAAAGGTGAAACACGCTGTAGCGGTGAACGGCATGCCTATTGAAGCTATTGCAGATAGTGTCAGTCGTTGACACGAATCCATAGTTTCGGAGACATTTGTACTAGAGAGTGACTCAGAGTATGGATTTCACCAGTGAGTTTCGAGATTTTTTGAATTTCTTGGTACACTAACGATTGCGAAGGCTTATAACCAGCACTTCATACAATTCTTTGCGTTAACCCAGCCTTTGCTGGGGCCTCAATTCTGCCGCGACCCGTTTCTTGAGCGGAAACATCATACCTGCTGCTTTCCCAGTTGTGTGCTCCAGCATGCCATCATTTGTGAAATTAGATGAAACGGCTTTCGGGGATCTTGGGCTGTTCGAACGCCGAGAAAATTTTTTTCAACAAAGTCAAAAAGCCTTGAGTAAAAGAAATGGGCAAAATTTCCCGTGTATTTGATGACTATCACCCTGCTTTGCTTCTTAATTTACTATATATAACCAATACTCTTTAAAACAGAAAAACAATAAAAGGATGTCTTCTCAAAGTTTCCCAAAACCTCCAACAGATAATAATGTGCATACCAGCCATTTTCACGTTTACTGTTCGACTGTTTCCACAGTCTCTCAGTGTCGTATCTTCGAAGCAGTTTCGCATAAGTCTCTCTTGCCCGGTGCGATGCTTGTGTTTGAGGCTCCTCACAAAAATCTCAGGCAAGAAAAATCACCCGAATCCATGATCAACGCAGCAATATACCATCATCTATACGGTCAAAGAATTTTGAAGTAAATATAATAAAATAAAAGGAACAAATAAGGCCGTGGGTCCAATAAAGATCACGTGCGTTAAAAAAACTCAATGAGCATAAGTATTCCGAGAAATTTTTAGAATGTGAAGAAATGAGTTTCCTCAATAGTAGAGGAATACCTAGATCCTTTACCAAATGTCAGACTAGTCCGTGATTCTCAGAGAACCGTAATAACTGGTACACAAAAAAAATTTTTTTTTTTTTCTGAAAATACTCAAAATTTGGGAAAAAAAAGCTTATCATGCTGTTCGTTGCAACTATCTCATTGGTCTGCCTACTGCTTCCCACTATTACTGTCAATCACGTTACTAAACCGATCAGTAACTTTGGTAAAGATTAGGTTATTCAGCACCAATTGAATCTTAGACAGCACCGACTAAAGAGGATGAGGGATAGATCAACAACATAGAATTCGTGACACGTTATTGAAAAAATGATGAGACTCTGCGAGTCCGAGTATATATATCGGTATTGAAATGTTTGCATTGAACGAGCAAGATCGATCAGCGACAAGCAACGCTGTCCATGAAAATACAGGCCTCAGCCTATTCGTCTTGAAGCCAAAGGGCTAGCTCAATACCTATGGAAGAAATGGCCGGAGAACGTCAACGGAACGATCCTCGAATCAAGGTGAATTCTGCCTTATTGTAACAGTTCTAAAAGCTGATTTGGAGTGAAGGAGGAAAGCAACAGAGAGACAGATCTTTCCCTCTGTTGGTGAATGAAGTGTGTGGTAGAAGGTAAAGAAATTTGGTGCGTGAATGACGGTATTCACAAAGAGCAAAGAAGAGGTGCTTCTCACCAAGACAGAGATAAATACGCTCAACGGCTAATATTTGACCCTGCCGTCAAGTGCTTCAGGCAGCCCTCTCATGCGATCCTCGTGAAGTATACGGACAAGCCGCCCATGTGAAATGAAGGAAAGCATGTAGCGCGCAACACATTGATTTAGCAGAGTTTGGATTTTGGATTCTCCTCAAGAAACTCAAAAAGTAGCGGCCGATAGTATTTTCCGGAATACTTTACGCATTATTCCTTGGCGGAAGTGGTTTATAGGCAGGTGGTGCCGCCTGCCACTCCCACGGTCGGGATCAAATCCGAAGTCACACGTCTGTCAAGCCTAACAGACCAGTTGGCGAGTCTAATAGTCTTTAGGCGAGTCTAATACCAGTTGGCTGACCCCTTCCATCACTGCAAGGGGTCAGCCAACTGGTATTAGACTCGCCTAAAGAATGAGAATACTGACTTGTACATCGGCTGGCCCACGCAAGTCATTTCCTATGGTGAGTAGCATTCCAAATGCCATTATAACTCAGAATCAGGGTCAACCGTCCGTTCGAACTGTTCGAACGGGGGGGGGGGGTCGCATTGCGCAGTTCTGCTGTTTTGTTTGGTCATCAGGGTGCGTGCGAAAAAAGTTGCCGTTTCACTGGTTGTATATACCCCCCCGCTCGACGGCTATTTTTGGGGAAAAAGTGGGTGGAGTTTCGGAGTTTTAGGTAGGTTTTGGGCTGTGTCAACTGGTCTCAGAATCAAATACTATAGAAGAGGGAGAGGTCGCGGTGGAGGAAGGCTGGTTGTATTGGGGGTCGCAACTGTGTGTTGGGGGGTCGCAACTGGACCCCCTCGAGAGGGGGGGGGCAAAAATCCCGAAAATGTTCGAACGTGACGGTTGACCCTGCTCAGAATGGAAGCAAAATGTGGTGCGTTCCGGAACGAGCTCATCAGTGCCTGATGCTTTATACTTATACCAAATTGGTCCCCAGCAACCGCCGGAACCTACCTTCCTTGCGTAAGCTTTACATTCCTCCTCCTCTCCTTATCCTCCCTTCCTCCTCCACTGCTCTCCAGCTGCCACTGCAGCACCTTGTGGAATGAACCGGAAGTGTGCTAAGCAGGTGTTTATATAGCCAGAGTGTTATCACAACTATCTACAAAACATTGATATCTCAAATCCTGTAAGCTACCCGATTTGTTAGCGGTTTGTTTATCCCATGAGCTTCCTTATCACTCACTTCATTTTGCGGACGGACAGACAGACAAACATACATATATACGAACAAACCAACACACCAAGGCTTCTCTCAACCAATTTGCTTTGAGTACTGGTATGTTAAGCCCTTTACTTTTCTGAATCCTACATCTTCAGATTTGTAAAGTGCACGGAATCTTCAGCTGATGTTTGAATTTTCTCAAGTGAAAGTGGAAAGAAGAACACAACAGAAACCTTTTTCGGCGAATATTTTCGACAGCTTCTATTGTGACAGATTTTGTGAGAATTACACCGAGTTTGAAATTCTTGAGTCAACAAAGATGGATTTCAACGCTGTGAACAGACGAAACAAACGCTTCGGGAACCTGTAAACCACAGTCTTAGTGATTTGATTCCGTGCCCACCTCTTGCACTGTTTCAAGACTTCCGACCCCCGCCCTGTCAAGAACTTGTGGGCGAAACACTATCGAATTGCTGTTATTTGGGAATTGAACTACAAGTGCGATGGAAACGTTAGAGGGAGAAATGAGCAAAAAGCATCACACAAACACTGCATTTTTTAAAAGGTTAACTATGGTACGACGAATGAAACAGAGGCTAGCGATAAGAGGGAAAACGCGAAAAGGCGCAGGCGCCACATATGTTGCCATTGGTAAGAATGGCAGCGGTCGCAGCGATCAACGAAGGCTTTAGTTCCCTTGTGGCGCACTTTCCACGGCTACACTCTTCCAATTCGATGCCTACAACTACGAACTTACAGACGAAGTCGGTTAAGAAAATCGTTCATTGAAACAATCACAAAAATCAACATTCAAAATAAATCAATATCCCTAGGAGTTGGTGAAGCAGCGCAGCATTAGAAATTAACAAAATACCTTCCTATTCACGATTAGCGATACTATCCAGAACGGAGTACAGTAAAGTGCGAGCGAAATGTTATAAACCTTAGATTGGATCATATACATAAACATATAACATCTTTGTTCATATTAACGAGAATAAACGGACTCTTTTCTTGTGTAGAAAGTAGGCGACATAGATGGAGAGCACATGGTGGCTGCAGTACAATATGATGTTTTCGGGTTGATCACAAAAGTGAAGTCAATTCGAGTCTCGACAGGCAAATCACGCGGAATAAATCAAAATTTGACAAAATCAATGAAGAGGAACGATTTTTACAGAAAATGGTCGACAGATCGAACTGCACGGCTTCCGCGATATCGGTAAAGAAGGTGAGTCCAAGAGAATGGAAGGCATTAACAATATACACCATATACAACCACGAGGGCAGAACTGAGAGTGAGAGCAGTTGAGGGCAGACAAATGCTGTCGTCGAGCAGTGCGGCCACACTACATGATTGTACTTTGTCAGGGGAACGCAATCCACCACCACAACAGCGAGACCTGTTTTCCACTAGATGCAAGTGACGTCCAAAGTGCCATTGCTTTCCAAGAACTCCTTCCAGTTCACTTTAAGATTGTCGACCTTTATCAGAGACAGGAGAATGAAGCAACTCACCAGCTTGCTGGCTCCAGTACCTGAAACGAATAATTTATGAGGCGGTAGGCTGGACTTGAAGGTAACAAAAATGAAATCATACTACTCCACACGAACTGTGGGTTTTTGATGTGATGAGTGTTAACAGAAATTAGCGCCGCATGACTAACAGATTTCTGAGCACTTTTTGCTCATTTAGAAAGACTTAGATAAAATTTGAGGGCCAGTAATCTTTACGGCCCGATGTCAATGATAATAGAATCCATGCCTCCCCACACGTGTCACATCTTGCCAACCGGGTATCTTGTTTTTGAAATGTTTGATCGAGAAAAAAGTCTAGCCGATATAGAGGAGTAATACGCTAAAATAAGCTCAAAAAACTACGCCTTAGGTAGAAATCGGACCAATGCACCTCCAGCTTTCCGAGCAGTTGTACTACCGTTTACACCACCAAGGCAATATGGGAGAATGAAATAAATCGAAAACGATTTGAAGTTTCCAAAGTTTCGCGAGAGCACAACTGAGATGACTAATGACGCTCAGCTTTGTCCGCACGAGTCGGGTCCTAATCTAGGCTTTTTTTTGCAAAATTTTTAACGACCCCCCCCTCTCCTCCACGACAGATTTCTTACGACCCCTTCTTTACAACTTCTTTTTTCCTCGAAAAATACCGTCGAGCAGGGGGGTGGGGTATACAAACGCTGAAACAGAAAATTTTCTTCCGCTTCTTTCTTCTTTCTCTCACCTCATTACATATAATTTTGTGCTACCGAAATAAGCACGACCCCCCACCACAAACTTCACGACTAGACGATCCCCCCCTTGTTGTGCTTGCCAACGTAGGTTGACGATCCTCGCTCTTTGTAGTCTTCTCCAATGAAACGCATGCAACAGCACTCAAACACAACGCGATGGTCGACCTCCAACGCTCAGCTTTTTATCGCGAGGAAAAAAAACGGTGCAAGCAATCCTGAACTCAAAAACAGCGTCAATGGAGGGATCGTAGCGAACAGATAACAATGCGCAGCGCCTCCGGATGAAAACAGCAGAAAAGCTCATGTTCGATATAATGTGATAAGAAAAAGTCTACCAACGCTCTTTTACTGGCTAGTTCTAGAGGATAGAAAGGGATAAAGCATTCGCCTCTTGACTCAATCTTTTTTTCCGGGGTGTGCACCACCTACCACAAACAGCAGTCTTACGTATGGCCCTTTGAATGCGATTGTGGTTCGCATGACTTTCGAGGGCAGCCATTGTAAAGTCAGTGTTTTTGTCCTCCGGACAGCGCGAATGGAAGCACCGCCACTTGCCACCACACCATTTTTCACCCTCCCACTATCTCTAATCGTAAGCAGAAAAAAATTATTACAGAGTATGGCAACTAAATGTTTTCTTAGCCTCCTGTAGACTTAGATGGAGAAGAGAAACATGCTTCATCAATGGGTTGGCCTTGACTAGTTCGCTAAGAGTTCACCGACTTTCCAGGGAAGAACTTGGTTCGCAGTACGAAACGCGCACCTGGATTGATCCTGGGCAGCGTAAGTGGAAAGCAGCGCCATGCCACCACATCCAATTCCGCCTTTTTACCTTTTTTTCCATTCCCTTTACCATGTATATCTCGAAAATAAGTCAGAAAAATGCTCCATACAAAACAATTTTCGGAGAGGAATTAAAAAAGCTCTACAACGGAACCAATAACCATAACTTGAACACGAAAGAGAAATCGAGCAATAGTACCATTTTAAGATAAAAGTACCTACTGTTTAAAACAGTCACAGAAATTTAGCATGACCTCTGTTGATCCTTACACGGCTTCTTTTTTTTCATGTGCGAGTATCATTGAGAGACAACTTGTTTTTGTTTCGCGCAATCGCCATTCACATATGTGAAATCCGATGAAGCTATCCCACCTGCATTCCCAGCTGTCCAACTTACTATCAGATAGCTAGTGCATCCCCAACTTCGCAGCATGCCATCCCTTTGGACAGCAGAAACGATGGGAGTCTGACCAATCGTTCTTGTTTATCTGCCATCAGCGTTCCCACGACGTGATCGACTTAATCAGGCGTTTGCTACGCGCACCACAACTCTCTAATGATAAGCTGGCAATATGAAGCAAATGGTTGGAACCTCAAAACCATTGACAGGAACGCTACTAGCTAAGTTAACATACTGGCTTCCAACACACGGCCCGACGCCGCATTGTTCCATAAGCAATTTTGCGCAAATTTCGAATATACTATTTGCTACTTTTACGATAACATAAAATCATTAACAATTTCGGCTATGAGTTGACCTATTCTGACAACTACAGCGTTGAAAAATATTAACACATTTATCGCGTCAGCCACCCTGTGCCGCACGATTTCGCGCCGCATAAAGACACATTTTTATCTGATTTAATTAACATTTTTCAATGTTCCTGAAGTGTTAGCACTCATTTTCAAGACCCGGCAACTATACTGTCATCAGCTGATGATAACCTGTTGATGCAGATTAATACGATTTGTTTTTGAGAAATATAAAAAAAAACGAAGGTGCTCATATGAGGGTGGTCCGCAATTGTAAAACTGCGAATGCATTACAGAAGCCATTGTTAATTATGGTAATCATGGTCTGTGCAAATTTGTCACCGAGCGGATTCTAATTGAGGCGCTTGGCAACGCTATTTTTCTTGCATGAAACCTTTTTTTAACCTGCAGGAAATTCACTTTTTGCCCGCATTTGGCCGGAGCTAGTACTGAATTCTACCCCCATTATTCTTTAGATTCTGGAGCAGAAATTTAACGTTCGTTCATGTCGGTGAGAAGCAGATCACGCAAAAAACACGCGGGAATTCAGGACAGATGGACTAACATTACGGCCTGACTTGTGAAGGCCAGAAAGCAAAGAGAGCTCTGTGTCAATCCTGCTTTGTTGATTATATCACTTTTTTGAACGCACAAAAACGATGACTTAGACTGCTGGCTCTCGAAAGTTCTGGTACGCCTATACAGGTGTAAGAGCAATGAAAGATATTGCTGCGTTCATATTAATAGCGGAACCAATCACCCGTGCTGAATTTAAAACGAAGTCCAAAATAAAAGTTGGAATCAGATCGCGCTTCATAACAAGTCATAATACGCCCTCGCACGTAGACGACATTTCAGAAAAATCTGCCATGAAACAAGTCATGGACAGCTCAAAGAGTGCTTCGAATCTCCCACGGAAGGTTTTTTTTTTTTGACAGCCGCGTTGGGAGGGGGCTTGCATAGTCAGAGCTAATAAAGTAATAGCTCTCTAGGAAATATCCACCAGTGAATCATTGGAAAAATCATGCAGCAGCTTCTAACCGAAGCGACTGAAGTAGAGTCATTGAGCTCAACGACGATGGCAGATGCGTTACTTTCTGAGACGGTGACGCAGCGAATGAGAGCCTGTCTCGCCTTCGGAGAAAGGTAGAAGAGGAACCAGGCGCGAGTGACCATTCAGGGAAATTTTGAGGTAAAATCCCGCATCAATGGTAGCACTCGGTGTGATAAAAAAAAAATCGCTGATGATGTGCGACATGGGAACACAAAATAAATACTGTTTGCGGAGTTCATCTTCAAAGTGATTTTGCGAATTCTGCAGACCTACCATACAACCAAGAACTGAAAACCAAAATTATGGCTCACCTCAAACTCTGCACTGTCAGGATTGATTGCAGTAGGGAACTGTTTGATTTCGCATACAAACGTATCCACACATTTGCGTTGCCCTAGGATGTAACCATTAAAACACGAAATCACACACCAATGTTTAATGCGCATAAAGCTGAAAGCTTCTCGACTATAACAGACGACACGCTGGCGTCTTTTATGGTGACCCAAGCACAAACAAAACAAAACACAAAGCGATGAAATGGATAGAACCTATCTAGGTTCGACCTTTCTTCTTCTTTTCCTGTGTTGAACTTCAAATGAAATGGATGGAATGCGGCTTCAAATCAAACTTCGTGAATTTACCATTCGAAAGCAGACGAGACGGTGAATGAGGCTGTAAAAGGTATTATTTATAGGAACAGTTCGATGCTAATATGCAATAAATCATAACCAAAATTGTACAGGCTTTAGCAGATGATGTCAAAGGTCAAGTGCAAAGGGCCTCGCCGAATAGAGCCACAGCAGAAATACCTTTGATAGGACAAGTGACGGCGTCTTACAAGAACTTCGGACCTTGCGACTAACAATAAGAGAAGTTCAACGCTGGGGAGCAAAAGAAGGATTATCTGGTGGAAAAAATTAAAAAGTCTCATAGGCTAGATTTGCCACGAGAATCGAACTACCTCCTGGCTATGCCGCGCTATGAACGAACCACAGCTTCCTCATCGCCGCCTCCTTAGCAGTAGTCGAGTATCAAAAAAGTTCGACCTTTCTGCTGGTTACAATCCTCTTATTCCGGCAAGTGCGAGTATTATACGATTTTTCTATGGCGCTTTTTCGCACCACTCTGCAATATGAAAGTGACGCATCTCTCATGTATGTTGGATTTGTTTTTATCTTTTGATACGCTGTACCGATACGCTGTCATCTTTCATACACTTTAATGTGAGGATTTATTGCCCGCACTTATGTCCATCGTGTGCCTCACTGCGCTTAGCCTAGCTTCTGCCTGACTGCTGGCCAGTACACCATAGTCTCATAAGTCCAGTTAAGCCCTCACTTGTACGTAAAGAGCATCACCAGCCGACTGACGCAGCCTGGCGCAAGAGCAATCTGACCTCACCTTATTCAGCTTGGTAGACGTTTCTCCAATTCTGGAGCTTACTGGCCAAACCCTTTGATTTGTAGTGCCTGCTAGTAGCCTTTAGTCCTATCAATTCATAATATATCTTTGCCACATCCTTTCATTCATCTAGCCGTTTTAATCAAAGATACGAACCGCTTGACGGGCATGCCTAATCATGACCTCCGGTTCTCCTAAACATGTATTCTTCTTGCTCCCGCATCCGCTTTTAGCCATTGCCTAGCTCTTTTCGCACCTATCCATTATGAGTTGATTCGCAACGAATGTACTACTCAAATACTTTCATATTTCACGGCAAAAATAATCAAGTTTTTAAGATCTTTCCGCTCCACGGGTAATGCCAGATGCATTGTACTGTTCACTCTATTCCTATAGAACATTGAGTGTTTGTTCACCACAAACATACCATTGAATCCTCGGGGAAAGTCATACGTGGCCTCCCCTCCAAAGACGAGTCAATGGTTATGACTCATGCCTCTCCTTTCGCAATAAGCCTTTCGCGGAAACACGTCATGCCCTCGCCTACACGCAGCTCTTGATGGCGCTGCTCAATATGAATGAATGCAAAGCAGTTCTACTAATAGTATCAATTACGGTGCAGTGGTTCAGAAGAACCATACGTTGGGTAATTCCTAGCGAGAGCAATTCGTAATTGTCTCGCTTGTAGGAGTTCGTATCGAGCGGATTATAAACAAAACTCTCGCCCCAAGCTGGACTCGAACCCGCACCTCCACTCGCTCACCGGGCAAATGCGCTAAAAGCTACGCATGTAAAAATTGTAGCTAATCTTTTTTTTTTAATTTGATTTCACTCCAAATTTACTGCTTCAAATATTGTTGAGCGCATTCTTGGATACCCGTTTTTTTCCACCACATTGTGAACTTTTTTGAATAGGACAAGCTGTGAATAGGATTGACTGTTTTAGGCATACCACAATGCAGCATAAATAGTGAAGAAACGTTAACGGCTAACTCTTAAGAAATCTCCTAAGCGCATTTAATATTGTTAGGAAATTTTCAGCAAAACAATTTCGGAGGACGGCGAAGGTAACATTAGAACCAACAAGGCTTCACCCGTGCTTGACCCGCAATGACCACCGCATTTGTGGAGAGGTCCGGCTGAGAAGGCTGAAAGATAATCAGAGGCTGGATGCTGTTACTGATATCACCACTGTTCGCTTTTCACTTTGAAAGAGCATTCCATAGCAAACGTCGTACCTTCGACTTTGTTATCTAACGCCATATCAATCAAAGCCTGAAAACTGCTGGCACGAGTCGCCTTGCGGGGTCAAGACGTCCAAGGGATCTGTGCCTTGGACGTCTAAGGGACCTTCGCCTAAAACGAATACCTACGGGGATGGTCTCACTTCGCAGATTTGGGCCGTTTCTCCAAGATTTTTTCCCTCTACCGCTCCACCATCTACCAGTTCTACTTTCATTTTCAGCCGCAACTAATTTATACCCCATCCGCTTTACAACGATACCCACGATCCAACCTCCTTCAACGTTATGAACAGCTTTATATAATTATTTATTGGAGACGTTTCAACAAATACTCTTCAAGTGAGCCATTTCCCGAGATGCTTGCGAGTAACCTACGAATAAGACTCGTCAGGACAATTTAGCGAGTTCGGAAACGATGTAGCACTTCTTCACTCGATTTGCTTACGATTTAGGTAGCAAGCTCTTATGCCATAGCAAGGCAGAATTGTGCTGATTCGAGGAATGAGAATTTGACATCGACCAATCAATCGCACTGCCAGAGGAACATTTGGAAAAAAAAAGCTGGGAAAACGCGGGACAGATAAAATCAGCAATATATCGGATTTCGAGATACCTTGTATGCTGGAATTCCCAGCTGTAGCTCTAGAAGTCCATACAGTACCTTCTTAACCATCTCTAGTACGCAGTATTGAAGGAAGCATATTGAAAAGCTTCCCGAGCCTACCAATTGCCAATACTTGGTTGAATAATAATTCAGCTTATGTGTTTGCATGAATAAAATGTGTGTAAATGAATTAAATATTAAAAAAGTGAATTTTTAACCAGGGAAACAACAAACACAACTTTTTAAACACAGTCCAATGGAATTCATAAACTTTTTCGTTCTTCAGTCCATGGCTTGAATAACATTTACTGAAAAATGCCATGTTAATCAAACTCCCCTATGTGACTAAAATAAATTTTTATTATAAAAAATAGGAGGAAATTATCTGGAAAACGAACCTTGGTACCAGTGTCGCGAATTACTGAAGTGGCGACAGTTCGCTCAGCAATCGACTCTTCCGAGTTTTCAGCAGAATTGGATCTTTGAGACATGTTCAACGCACGGGCAGTCGGGTGTGCTAGCGCATCTGGTGCAAATCAATGACGACCAGGAAAACGTGCTGAAAGAAATGCAGCTTAGCCTACTCCTGTTATGTGGACAAATCAAGGCGCTGCGCAGTTACGGCAGAAAGTGGTCTGATCGAACAATGTCAAGCATGTACAAAGACAAATAACATACAAAATAAGAACATGATAATAGACCCGAAACGGTTGTGTAGTGAAGAGGCTTGCCCCTTCACGTATATAATGCGCGCGATAATCCGCTTATGCAACAGTAGTCACAAACGGGGACCCTACGGTCAAACAGGAATTTGTTATGTGAAAATAGACTGACTCATGCTCAAGCGTCAATTTTGTTCCCATCACGGCTCAGTCTTATGTCTCAAAAAAGAATTTCAGCTGACGCGTTTTGAAGTTCTAGTAGAGCAAACTGAACTTAAAGCCTTCAACCGAAGAATTATCATTATTCACTCGAAGTTGCTACATCGTAAATCTGAGGAGGAAGAATAGAACTCAAAGAAGAAATGCATATGAGGGATGAGAAAACAGCGGAAAATAGTCGTTTTGAACGAAAAGGTGTACGAAAGACAGACAGAAGGGTTTTCACCACAGCGAAGGCAAAAAAATATCGAATCCGTAAAGGATCCCCATAGTGAAGAACAGACCGATTTCTCGCAGTCCAATTCGCTTTGGTGCCCAATCCGACCACGAGAAATCCTTCGCTTTTTCGAGTTAGTTATCGAAGGGATGGGCAGGATTGTAGAAGTGTACTGTGCGCCACAAAGGCCTCTGGAGAACAATTGAAATGGATTGTTTTCGTCAGATAATTCAACACGAAGTGTAAAAATCCATGGAAATGTCAAGATGCGTCATGCTTTCATGGGCTCTGCGGAATAAACTGCATTAAGGGAAAATCGGACGAGAAAAATTGATCCAGCGCTAGATTAAACAATAATTTTGTTCTCTCAGGTGATAGCCTACCTCCACACCATGCATGAACCACCTTGAAAAGGCGTTTCACGTTCTGGACGAATTTACTGGCAAGCAGCTCCCTTTACTTGCCATAACTTTTACGTAGAAAAGTTTTGCCGGTCCATGAGTTGAGCCAGAAAGTAATCCTGAGCTTGAGGCACAAGGTGAGTGCGTAAGGAAAGTACTACGTTAACGAACGAACGCAGCTTTTAAAACTGTACTGAGGGAAGTATTTCCTCACTCTGCAACTAAAGGAAACGTGACAATTTTAGATTTCAATTGCAGAAAAAATAGTGGGCTTAACATCCAGAATTATAGTTTTCCACAGAGGCATAGAGAGAAACACCCGAGCTAGATCTCACCCTTCCCCCTACCTCGCGGGTCTATTCGTTCACATGAGTACGTATGAGTAGGAGGTAATTGTAGCGGCGATTCCTACATACCGCAGCCACAATTATATCCTGTCCACGATTGTATGGCGCAGAGCTCCGGTTGCTATGTACAGCAGAAGCGCTCCCACGAAAGCTGATCAACACCTCCCTGGTGATTTTGCCTTGACTGATATTTCCACAAGGTTTTTTGGCACTATTTACCCTTTACCTCCCCACTCGAGAACTGAGCCGGATTTTTATCGAAATTTGTCCACAATTGTGGATTTAGCTAGAAAGTCGACTCCGGGGCGACGTTACTGGTGCCGGCACGAACAGATGTGATAGCGTCGGCGCCTGTGGCGCGGACCAAGCGTTTTCGCGCTTAACTGATGTAATATTCGTGGTCTACGAGTTGAAATACCCCTAAGAACAAGTTTCTAACAATCCCAGTCATGGGCAAATTTCGATAAAAACTGGTTCAGTTTTTGAAGTTTTTGAAGGGGCAATTTTTCCAAACAAAACTGAAAAGTTCTAGTAACCGAAAATCCACCGAACCCACAACCTTGAGACCTCGAAACCTCAGAAAAACTATGCGAAGATAAATCTGAGCAAGTATGAGGTCATTTACGAAAGATATCATCCAGCTATAGGAAATCAATTGTGAGATTGAGAGATTTGAGATGATGCAGATAATAGTATTTGTGAAACGTCTTAGGTGAGCAACTACATTTAAAAATCCGAGCGAATTGAAACAGCGTCGAATTGCTTTAGTAGAAGGCTAAGATCTGGGACTTGCAAAGAACCGTCTCTCTGGGGTGTTTCGCTGAACAAAGCGGCCGAAGAGAGGCATGTCAATTCGGCCACCCAACCACCCAGTCATCCTCGAAGGAAATTCATTTAGCTGCACCACACGACGTCTCGCTGAGCAATAACACGCCAAAGTACATGCATAACTGAGGCCCACATGGATCAATCGCCACCCAAATTGGAGTATTTCCTACCTCAACAAAACCTCGAGAAAGAAGCCACAGAAATACGCAATGTTATGTGCACTGAGCCAGCCAAAAACCACAAACCTCCGAGATTGTTATCACAAAACGAGCTGACGTAAGCAATAGCGTGGGTAGCAAGCCACATTTATTCAGGTAGGACTGAAATCGGTATCACGGGAACGCTGATTCAAAATTCAAGGAGGGGGGGGGGCGTACGGCATTTCAGCAAGCGATTATTCCGTCTACGTGAGCATCATTTCCAAATGAATGCATCAAAATGGACGGTGACGACATTGCGCGACGGCCATGTCGCGGATATAAATTGCGTCGGAGGACGACAAGTGGTCTGTGTCAGGCATTGTCCGCGCCATGACAATGCAGTATCGCAGGAGAGAATATACGTCCTCAAGGATGAGGCGAACCAACCGCCAATTTAACTCGGCGACACACGCGGGCAACACTGTGATCATGACCGTATATTTCTCAC